TGGTGCTCGGCAAGTGTGGTCGGGTGCTAGTCATGGCCCTTCAGTTTGGGTCGTGACAAAAGTTCCCTACTGGAAAATGGGATGGAGAGTATCTGACTCAAAAGATATTAAAACTTTTTTGAACAACTCAATCAAAGATGAAGGGGTAAATATTAGCTGAATATAATAATCTCTAGAAAAAATAATAGGTAAAGAAAAGATGGTCGTTAAGTTTCTTTTTATTCAAGAATAATAATACCCCCTTGTTACAAGGTTATCGTTCCCCTTTTATACTAAGAGAGAAACTCTTCTAAGTTGTAGAAGACAAAATACAAGGAATATTCGACGAAATATTCCTAATGTCCCCTAATGGGCTTACATTATTACAAGGGTAGTTTCTTCTTTGCCATAAGGTCGTCTCCCTTGGGACGCCGACTCAAAGAGACCCCATCGTTTGTCGTACTCGTCGTTGGTCGTGGTCGGTCAAATTTGGACCCATACAGTTAGTCCCTCCATTTTTCGGGGTTACAACCGGGTACGTCCTTGATGAGCGGACTTCATGCGTTCTTATGGAGAAATTTGATCTGTTGAAACGTTACGGTGTGGCCAATGAGGGACGGTCAGCGTATTCGGCAAGACAACGAGTGATACACTTTACCAGGAAATGATGTCAGCTTCACATGCATCATCATCATGCAGGTTTTCGAGGCAGGAATTGATGGCTTGATTCTTCGATTCTTGCGCTGCTTTGTGACCTGCCGCCTCGATTATGGCGCCACCCAACCCTATAAATAGGTGAAGGGTTTCATTTTTCGAAAAACTTTGGCCATTTCACTCTTGATAACTTCTTTCACTCTTCCTAATTTGCTCTCATATCCTTTTGTTTCTTCTCACGTTCTTCGTTTGAAGCTTCTTCTTCCTTCTTCCTTTTGTGTTAACATTCCTTTGAATGATATTATGCTGAGGTCTCGTTGTTCTCGTGAAGAGGTTCCTGAAGCCACCCCGTCGTCCACGGTGCCCCTTTCTAGCGGCGAAGATACAGTGGTAGAAGAAGGTGATAGCCTTCCTACGGTAGAGGAGTTACTACAGAGGCATCCCTCATCCCGGAGTGACGTCCTCAAAGGTCCTCATCCTACTCCGGGCCCCGTATTCTCTGAGACAGAGCAATTTCATATTGATGCTCTTCGTGTAAAGTATGGCATTCCCGCTCATGTAGGAAATGGTTCCGGTGGGGAGAGATTATGTGGATGTCCACAGACCTGAATACTGCGCTTTCTATGAGTACCCTTTTATGATAGGTTATACGCTTCCTCTCTTCCCCTTAGCGGAAGAATTCTGTAGGTTCTACCAAGTTTGTCCAGCACAACTTTCGCTATATACGCTCAAGGTACTTCTACTGCTAACCAAGTATGCAGAGTTGGCAGAGTGGAACATTTCTGTCCACCACCTTTTGCACCTATTAACGCCCGACTTCCACAAGGGTACCATGGTGCATTTGAGGCTTCGTGGCATGAAAGGGCTGGTGGTCGAAACAGATGACCGGGAAAGCTGTAATTTTTGGCACAAGTACTTCTATGTCAAAACCAAACATTTCTTTTCTAATTCCGCCAGGTTCCCGGAGCGATGGAATGAGACTCGTAAGTGTCACCGCTTGCTTTATTCTTCCACCGGGGATGATGTGTAATCTTTGTTTGTACTTGCTTTTGTTTTGGGGTTTTTGCGGGGGGCATACTTGAGCTCGTTTGTAAGGACAAATGTAAATAATATTTTGATGTAATGTAAAATTTATTTTGTCGATTTGTTCTTTCTTGCATTTGTCGAACCCATGTTATCGTTGATGGCCTTGGCCATTGGGATGTTGCTTCGAACTGTCATCAAAGTAGGATCCCATCGTAGTTCAAGCGAGGTCGAACTCATATTATCGTCGATTNATGATGTGTAATCTTTGTTTGTACTTGCTTTTGTTTTGGGGTTTTTGCGGGGGGCATACTTGAGCTCGTTTGTAAGGACAAATGTAAATAATATTTTGATGTAATGTAAAATTTATTTTGTCGATTTGTTCTTTCTTGCATTTGTCGAACCCATGTTATCGTTGATGGCCTTGGCCATTGGGATGTTGCTTCGAACTGTCGTCGAAGTAGGATCCAGTCGTAGTTCGAATGAGGTCAAACTCATATTATCGTCGATGGCCTTGGCCATTGGGATGTTTCTTCAAACTGTCATTGAAGTAGGATCCCGTCATAGTTCGAACGAGGTCAAACTCATATTATCGTCGATGGCCTTGGCCATTGGGATGTTTCTTCAAACTGTCATTGAAGTAGGATCCCGTCATAGTTCGAACGAGGTCAAACTCATATTATCATCGATGGCCTTGGCCATTGAGATGTTGCTTCGATCTGTCGTCAAAGTAGAATCCCGTCGTAGTTCAAATGAGGTCGAACGCATGTTATCATCGATGGCCTTGGTCATTGGGATGTTGCTTCAAACTGTCATCGAAGTAGGATCCTATCATAGTTCGAACGAGGTTGAACTCATATTATCGTCGATGGCCTTGTCCATTGGAATGTTGCTTCCAACTGTCGTCGAAGTAGGATCCCGGCGTAGTTCGAACGAGGTCGAACGCATATTATCGTCGATGACCTTGGCCATTTCTTATTGGGGGTTTGGTCGTATTCCCGCAGGAAGATATGTCGACTTTGTTAATGCAATGGAGGTTTGATAAAATTCTTGTGAGAATCATATGTCGACTCTGCACATACAATGGAGATTCAATTAAATTCCTGTGAGAATCAAATGTCAACTCTGCACATATAATGGAGATTCAATTATCTATATCCAGTCCCTTCATTACTTCGCTCCGGAGATCATATCGTCGGGTTGAGGTAATGAACAACACTTCGATCTTTAAGGCGTTTCCCTTGCCGCCTCGTTAAAAACCTCCCTGGGAAAACCTGATTGGGACAAAGCCCGAGCGAGGGAAAAAGAGTACGACTTAGGTGATGCCTTCTTTTAGAAGTGGAAGTATTTGAGATGGGCGACATTCTAGTTGTTTTGGAGTAGTTTTCCCCCCAATGTTTCTAACTAGAATGCTTCTTTGTTTGCTGCAGCTATGATTTTGTATGGTCCGTCCCAGTTTGTTCCCAATTTTCCCTTATTAGGGGCTTTCGATGCTTGTGTTTTAGCTTTGAGGATGTAGTCTCCGATTTTGAGCGGTCGCAACTTGGCTCTCTTATTGTAGTATCTTTCTACTTGCTGCTTCTAGGATACCATTCTTATGTGGGCCATGTCTCTCCGTTCTTCGGCTTCATCCAAATCTTGTAGCCTACTTTCGTCGTTGCTTGGCCCGCTCTCATTGGAGTATCTCAAACTGGGTTCTACGACCTCGACAGATATAACTGCGTCAGTCGCATGGACCAGTGAATATGGCGTTTCTCCTATGCTGGTTTTTGGCATAGTGCGGTATGACCATAATACTTCCGGTAGTAGTTCAGGCCATAACCCTTTAGCATCCTCAAGCTTCTTTTTCAATATATTCAGTATTACTTTATTGAAGGATTCGGCTTGACCATTGGCGGCAATGTGATATAGCGTGGAGAGTATTCGTTTGATGTGCCATTTTTCAAAAAACTCAATCGTTCTCTTTCCAATGAACTGAGGTCCGTTGTCGCAGCTGATTTCTTTGGGGATGCCGAAACGACATATTATGTTTTTCCATATTAATACGATGACCTCCTGTTCACAACTCGTCCTGCTGGGAGGGGGAAAACTATGTCCATTCCCAACTTTATGAATGGCCATGACGAAGTGACGAAATGAAGGAGTTCCCCTGCTTGATGTATCATAGGGGTGCACTTTTGACATTGTTCACATATCCTGACATAGCCCGCGGCTTCTTTTTTCATAGTGGGCCAATAGTACCCGGCACGGATGAGGCATCAGACGAGGGCACGATTTCCCGTATGGGCACCGCAGTGCCCTTCGTGTACTTCTTCCAGTACTCACCTTGTTTGATTTGGCCCAAGACATTTGGCTAGGGGGCCGCCGAATGTTCTTTTGTAGAGACCACCGTTTACGAGTCTGTATCAGGGTTGCTTGTACCTGGAGTTTTTTGACTTCTTTTTTATCTTGTGGGAGCGTTCCGCCTTGCAAATATGCTACGAGGCAGTTACGCCAGTCCCAAGTTAAGTTTATATAATGTACCTCGATGTGGTCTATTGCGGAATGGAGGAGGGTGACCACGTTTTCCTTCTTGATATTTTTGGTGGCCGCGGCTAGTTTGGCGAGGCCATCTGCTTCGATATTCTGCGCCCTGGGTATTTGGTCGAGGCGACATTCATCGAATTCTGGCAGTAGTTTATGGATTTTCGACTGGTACTTTTGTAGTTTCTGCTCTTTGATTTGGAAAGTCCCTGGGACTTGGTTCACCACGAATTGAGAATCACAACGGAGGACGAGCCGTCGAGCGCCATATTTGAAGGCTAACTTCAAACCTACAATCACAGCTTCATACTCGGCCTCGTTGTTAGTCATCTTGGGGCATTGTATGGACTGGCGAATTACTTCACCTGTATGGACTTCGAGGAAGAGTACCAGTCCTAATCTCGAGGTAGTAGAGGCACCATCGGTGTAGAGGACCCAGTGGTCAGTATGTGTGGAAGTGCAGAGTGCTTCCTGTTCTACTTTGGGCAATATATCCGTGCTGAAATCAGCGACGAAGTCAGCGAGCACCTGCGACTTAATGGCACTTCGTGGTTGGTACGTTATGTTGTGCTCGCTTAGTTCTATAGCTTACTTGGCTAGCCTACCCGATAGTTTGGTCTTGTGTAGGATACCTCTTAGGGGGAAGGTTGTCACCACCTTTATAGGGTGACATTGAAAGTACGGTCTAAGCTTCCGTGAAGCTATGACCAATGCCAGAGCTAGTTTTTCAAGGTGAGGGTACCTTGTTTCGGCATTGATTAAGGTTTTGCTGATATAGTAAATCGGAGATTGCGTACCTTTATTTTTACGGACCAAGACTGTGCTTACCGCAACTTCAAAAACTACTAGATACACAAGTAGACATTCACCCGGGTCCTCTTTGACGAGTAGTGGTGGCGAGGATAGATATGTTTTCAGTTTTCTCAGGGCGTTGACGCATTCTTCGTTCCATTGTAGCCCATGGTCTTTGTCACACCTCCTTTTTCCGTGCCCGCGAGTGTGCAATGGAGTTTTTTCCAATTAAAGGACAATCGAAACGGGATTGGTTTATTTATTTCAGAGTCGCCAC